GTAATGGGTACTCATGGTGGACAGTGTTGGCTGGAGCTTCCCGACTAAATCAAGCCTGGAAGCAGGAGCGGCATCCACTTTCCGAAATGGCTTGCCTCGGGAAACTCTACATACGAACAGTGCTCAGGCCGTTTGTTCATAGGGTCGCTATGAGACGTCTACAACTCGACGGCATCAAACAACAACAACCACCACAAATTATAATTATAAAACCAAATGCAATTCTATTGTATTAGAACAATATAAAAAAGACCCTTTCACACTGGCATACCTAAAAAATGTATGATGCTCTACACTGCATTTCCAGAGATGCTTACAAGCAGCTTTACTTCGAGCTTCAAAAAAGAATGAGGTTTCATTGCACTGAAAGAGAAAGAATAATGAATTACTCACCATGACAGTCTTCAGATAACAGCTGTCTTTTTTTGAATCAAATACTCAAATAAGCAGACAGAATATCATTAGCACATAAAATATGATTTTCTGTGGCACCAAAACCACTTTCTAATTTATCAGAATTACAAAATACAGGTTCTATATAAATGTCAATACCATCACCTTTATGAGCTGCTTCTCCATCCCCTCTAGGCTATGGATGATTAGGATGATGGCAATGAAGGTGCTACAAAATCTTCAGTCCTAAATGTCCACAGTTACATTAAAAACATCGACAGTGAGGAAATCGATTCCTAATTAAACCAAGATTGCCCATAAATCTAGTTCTTAACCATATTACTTGCAGGAATATAAAAACCATTCTTTAAGTGCCTATTTAAAAAGCCTCAAGGGAGTCCAAAAGGAGAAGAGATTCACACAACTGTGTAATGTGGGCACGTTAAATAGACTCTGAGTGTCTTTATCCTCCATCAAATTACTGATGCGTTAAATGAAATGATATGTACAAAGAGACAACTCCAATGCCTGTGACATCGCTGTTGATATGTACCATCGAGTCAAAAGCGATGCACAGCTGACCTCCAGTAGGTTTTCAGAGTTAATTACACAGGAAGAGACTGCCCATACTTTTCTTGTGGAGCAGCTGATGGATTCAAACCACAGGCCTTTGGGATTGCAGTGTAGTTTCTTACCACTAAGCCAATAGAACTCCCTTGTTATATCATAGGCACATAATAAACGTCAACTATTTTAAATGAGTGATCCTCTGATTTCCTGAAGTTAATATATAAGAGACAAATATTAACGCTAATTCTAATTTTGCAGGAAAAGGTCTGTGTGTGTGTGTATTCAGGGAGCTCTATTGGCCTAGTGGCAAGAAGCTGTGCTGTAATCCCAAAGGCACACAGTTTGAGACCACCAGCTGCTCCATGGGAGCAAGATGGGCAATCGCCTCCCATGAGAATACACACACACACACACACACACACACACACACACACACACACAAGTAATTGAAGAGGATATCAAGTAGAATATGTAAAAAACAATAAAATAATCAATCACCATCTTTGTGAAATTATGTAATTGCTAATTTGGTTTCAAACTTAAAAACTAAACTCAAGTTTCAAACATAGAAACATTTCTAGAATGAGTTTTCCAAAGGCTCATAAACACAAAATGGTCAATATAGATTAAAAATTGAAATGTTTTTCTTCCTATATTTAACAAGGACAGAACACTTATATGCATGAAATTCTTTTCCAAACTTTATGGGGAATGACACCACACAACTGAGCAACTTATTTATAAAATAAAAGTAATAACTATAGTCAGTATATATGTTTTACATCCAGTCTACGCTGTGAGGTGACTAACTCACTGCCATCAAGTCTGAACCACCTCACAGGTGACACGCGAGACGTTTCTGAGGCTTTAAATCCCCTGGAAGGAGACTGTTCATCTTTCTCCCTGGAGCTGCTGGTGGATTTGAACCTCCAGAGAAGTGAAGTTTTTGAGTTAGCAGCACAATTGCCTATGATCTCCATCACCAGAGCTTGTGAGGCAGAAGGAAAAATGTAGAATGATTTCCACGTCTCTCTGGCTTGGCTGCTATTACTACAGAAATACTGTAAATGGAAACATTTGGAGATTTTGTGAGGGACTGCAGGACAAGTTGAGGTTGAGGTACTCTGATGTTGAGGTACCTATTTAATAGGAAGGGTGCTCCCAGGTGATGCAAGCAGGTAGCACTCCAGCTTGATAACCAGATGACTCAGAAAAAGGGCCTGGTGAGCTGCTTCAGAAAAATTCAACTTCTGAAACCCAAACAGTTCTACTTTGGCACCTATGGGGTTACAACAAATTAATGTTGACACCACAGCAACCGGTTAACACGTATGGAATGAGGGGCTAAATATGCTTAGTGGGTCAGTAAACTTGCCAGTCAAGAGCTCAGACGAGCAGTCACAGCTGCAGACATGGACAAAATCACCAGAGAAAGTTTATGAGACTGCTCACAGAGCAGATCAAGGTGGCATCACAGGATAGATGCTCATGAATGTAAAGATAAAAAAGAACCAAAAGACAATAGTGTCAGGGAGGCAGAGAAGAGACAGTGAAGGTCTCCAGTGACCCAGAAAGGTCAAATAAGGCTTGAAAGAAGGTTTCTGCATTTCATGGTAAGAAACCTTTGGTGACTTTAGTGAAAGGCGTAGGGATTTCAAAATTAATTAGAGAAAAGGAAGAAAAGTCAATTAATTCTGAAACCATTTCTTTCAAATACAAAAGAAAGCAGGGAAGAGGCGGGTACCCTCGCAAAAAATCACACACTGATCATGGTGGTGGGCTGAGAGGTATCAGGAGATTGGAGCAATTAGAGAAAATTTATTTTCTCTTTCCTCCCCCTTTTTCAATATATAATACATATGCAGTAGGCACAAAAGCCAAATGTTACTACAATGGGAATATAATGATAAGTGAACCCATTTCACCACTAACCCCGACTCTCCTCCCCAGAGCTATGAGTATATTCCAAAAAAGTTTTCCAGTTACTGACTTTTCCTACAGTTCATTTATTTTGAAATAACTTTGCTTCTAATCAAGATAAATTATGAAAAATAAAGGAAGTGCCAGGAAAAGTGCCCCTTCTATTCCCTCACTACTGAACACTAGTTGCTGTGGGGTTGAATCTAACCCATGGTAATTCCACGAGTGTGGGAAAAGAACTGTGGCCCTGAGGTTTTCATGGAAGATTTTTTTTAAATAGATCAGCCAAGACTTTATTCCGAGGTGCTTCTGGGTTGGTTTGAACCTCTAGCCTTTTGGTCAACGGTCATTTTGGTTTGCACCATCCAGGAACTGCCTCTCATCTACATACCACCACCTTCGTTAGCATATGGGGAACTGGTCCTCTCCATGTGCTTTTAAACAGCAGGAATTTTATGTTCAATAGGATGCTGTGGACATTGCCATGATAAGAAATGGTGACACGCACTTTTATATTTTAGCAAAAATGAAAAATTGCACAAATAAACTATAATTCAAGTATTTAAATCTGATTCTTAAAAAGCTTTTTAGTTACATCTATTCCAGGTGTCCAAAGTAGAAAAGGAGAAAAAAATGTGTGTTTTATGTGAAAAAATAATGTTGTTGTTGTTGTTAAGTAGCATGGAGTCAAGTACAACTCAAAGTGACCCCATGAACAAAAGATCTGAACCCTGTTCTTATAAAGACCGTCTTTTCTCTAATAATATTGTGAAAATTTTGCAAATCTCCTGTAAGCCTCAAATTTTTCTGTGAGTAGTTTTTCCTTTATTCTTCATATAAATAGTATACCTTTTACTTTTCAAATGGTGGTCTGGTCACAGGGTACCAACTTTTTAAATATGTTTTCTTTAATTATCATCACTTAATAAAAATATGAAATGCATTTCCACATTGGGTTTTTCTCTAATTTTCTTGGGTACTAACATACTGAAAAATGAAAGTACCTCCCACATGACTCCTAATTGCTTCTGCCATGCACAAATGACAAGTATCAACTCATCTTCCACTTACAGAGGTCTTTAAAACCAGCTGCCAGTTGTTTTTTTTTAAGATCCCATTAATGGCAGAATGATCCAAACATTAAAAGAAAGGTTATAGCAACTAAAAAGCAAGCTGGGAATTCTGAATAAATTCCGTATTATTTTGCCATTTGCAGCAAATACTAGCATGAATGTCACTACTGTGACATTTGCAATCTCTCACAGGCTGACAGTCTCTTACTTACTAAAACTTCTCTAGTAACAGCCAATTAACATATCTGCATCATTCATTCAAATAGGAGCAGCTGCTTAATTTAAGAAGCTCATTCCAACTTGGAGCTGAGAAGCTTTATATCCAAGCATCCAAGGCTTGTTTTTGGTTTTGGAGTTTTGTGGGGTTTTTTTAAAGCTATGCAAAGATTATGGTAGTTTTCGTCATTTCATGCTACAGTTGGACTCTTATTTCTAGTTTTAGAAACTGATCTAACTTAAATTGCTTGTAACTCACAGGTATTGTTTGGGAACTTTATAGTCCTGTAGTACTTCCAGGTGAAATTTTCAATTATACCAGAAAGGCAAACTGAGGGCCTCTGGAGAGAGCTCTGGTGGCCTAGTGGTAAGAAGCTATAGTGCAATCCCAAAGGCATGCGGTTTGAATCCACCAGCTGATCAAGGGGAGACATAAAGACGATTTACTGCCCCTGAAAACCTGGAGGGTCAGCTATCAGTCAGTTCCAACTCAACAGGAAACAACAGCAACACAACAGTGGTGATTTAATGGTAAGAAGCCACACTGCAATCCCAAAGACATGCAGTTTGACTCTACCAGCTGCTCTGCAGAAGAAAGGGCACTTTCCTTCCCGTTCAGTTTACTGCCTCTGAGAACCCACTGGGAAGTCACCTATGGGTCAGTTTTGTCTCGATGGCACACAACAACAACACAGCTATGATTTCTGTAGACACGGCAGAAGAGTCACCTTCTGGCTGGAAACTAAGCAAACCAAGCCCACTGCCCCAAGTGGATTCCAACTCACGGTGTCCCGCCACTGGGCATCTAAGACTACAAGTTACACGAGAAGAGACTGCCTAGCTTTCTCCTCAGACTGGAAGATGCGAACCACTGCTCTTTCAGTTAGCAGCCCAACCACATTCAAGTCTCCATATGGAATTTCTAAACTAAGATAGACAAAGAACATCCTGACAATTTAAAGAATCAGCCAATAAAAATGCAATGGATCCCAAGGATCTGTTCCACAACTGAAGATGGGGATGGTGCAGGCTGGGGAGCAGTCCACTCAGTCATTCATGAAGTCACCATGAGTTAGGGGCCAATAACAACTACTACGTATCTACATCTTTGGAGTTGAAGTACTTCTGGTCTCAGCCTCTTTTCCTATCTTTGCTAGCGATGCCTTCCTTTTACAACTGTTTTAGAAGCTT